GCACGACAAGAAAAGTTTAAATAAAATATAACAAAACTTTATTAATACTAATTAATTTTTTAATTATTATTTATAATATTTTATAATAATTTTTTTAATTTTAGATCATATTTAATCCTATTAATTATTTTGAAATAACTAAGTATTTAACTAATAATTTTATCAATTATTTAAATATTATTTAATTAATTTCACTTAATTATTAATATTTTAAATTATATTAATTAAATTATTCAACAATTAGAAGTGTCTAGGTTTTACTTTTTCCCTCCTGTATTTCGTTCGGCTTTGTTCCTTCGCACCTAAAATTTTCAAGAGTTCTTCATCGTCGCTGTTCGACTTTGCTCCTTCGACTACATACATTGATCTGAAGCAACGACGGGAGCTCGCTTGCTGTGAATGTAACTTTCTCCCTTTCGCACGCTTCTTCGGCCAAATCCCGTAAATCCGCCGAACCAAAGGATTTCGGAAATCCGGGATTTAGAGCGAATCGGCGGAATTTTTCGTCCACGGAGGATTTCGTTTGCCGTGAGATTTGGATTCGCATTTTAGGCCGTTTGGCTGGATTTCGTCCAAATCCGGCCTTAAATCCGCCTAAATCCGTATACCAAACAGCCCCTAAGAGTTGGATGTTCACAATGAGACAATTAAAATCTAATGATGACAAAAGTTAGGCTTTAGTAGCTGTGATTGATGGTGGTGGTTGTCGTTGATGATCATTAATGTAATAGACATCTTAAACTTTTTAAACTCTCAAACCTCAATCAAATGGCTCATATTAATTTCCTTCATAATTTATTATTTATTAATCATTTGAGTATCTTAATAAATATGTAAATAACTCTTTTATAAAATTTAGCATAAATTGAGGTTTTTTTTTTAAAGAGGACGAGCACTCGGATCTAATTTATAAAAAAAAAATTAAATTTATTTCCATGCAACATGAATACTAGGCCCGAATTTCGTTAATTTTTATAAGATTTATTTTTTGAATTATAAAATATATGACCAACAGCTTATGGCAACCAACTCTAATCACAAATTTCACTCATAATCGAAACAGTTGTTATACTTCTGATCCTCTTTCCGACTGCGGAACAATGGCGGCGTCAGTGGTCGCTGCGGCAACCAACGTGATTCCTTCCAATCGATCGTCCTCCTAAATCTTAACTCCTCGTAGGGTTCCCCATGCAACCGGTCGCCTTCCGCCGCCTATCGCCGCCGCGTCTTCTACGATGGACTTCACCGAGCTGGAGGCAGTGGAAGGCCTCCGTTGGCCGTGGAATGCGTGGCCTTCGTCACGCTCCGTCGCTGCCGCACTCGTCGTCCCCTTGAGCGTAATATGCACGCCATTAATGCCCCTCAGTGACCTCCCGATTCTCCCCTACGAGCCTTTGTTCTGCTCCCGCTGCCGTGCCGCGCTAAATCCTTACGCCCGCGTCGACTACCGCTCCGCCATCTGGATCTGCTCTTTCTGCCACCACAAGAATCCATTTCTCCGCTCCTACCCCGGAATAGCCGATCACAACCTCCCTGCCGAGCTATTCCCCACCCATAGCACCGTAGAGTACCTCCTCCCCTACAAAAGCCCTAACCCTAATCCTAGCGGCTTTTTGCACAAGTCCTTTTCCTCGAGCTCATCGTTTGCTTCGTTGACTTCTTCTCTTTCCTCCGCATCGGTGGCAGCGCCTTCGCCGGCTATAGTGCAGTCACCTGGACCGTCGTTCGTGTTTGTCGTGGACGTATGCTCGGCGGAGGAGGAGCTCCGGGCGCTTAAGAATGAGATTTTGCACGTGGTAGCGCATCTTCCGGAGAATGCGCTGGTGGGGCTTGTCTCGTTTGGTTCGATGGTGTGGTTACATGACCTCGGCTATGCTGAGTGCTCCAGAGTTATGCTCTTCTGCGGTGACCGAGAGCTTTCTTCAGTGAAGGTATGCGTACAATATCATGTAGGTTGTCCAGTCTGTTTTATTGCCGGTATGCATGACTGTTTGACCAAAAATATGTGTTAGATGGTAGAAAACGTCTCTTGCTGTTTAGAATCATTTTGATAGAAAGCTGTGAAGTGTGGTCTCGAGGAACATTGATTTACTTAGTTGATTGCTTTTATATGGAATGCTCGAGCTATGGATAGCAACCATGAATCCTCAGCCCTCTTTTTGGGGCTGAATTCAACGAAGCTATTCTGTTAAGGTGATATATAAACGAGAAAGGTGCAAAATATTTGAATTATGCTTGAGCATGCAATTAAGCTATTCAAGTTCTAATCGATTTTTACAGTCTGTAGTCAAGCTCATTTTAAAGTCTTCGGTATTTCCCCTATAATATGCGATCCTTCTTTGATTTGATTCCCTTGCATTATATTCCGTATTTGGTACTGGTACATTTTAAAAAAATATTCCATTAAAGGTGGTACCGTGGTAAATCGTCTAACATGTTATGTCACCTCTTTAGCACTGCATCCTTCATACTTTAATTAGCACCATTCATGATTTAGACAGTTGCATATCTTTTTCCGATAGTGTTAACTTTTTATTTAGATTGAAAACTTTTGATTGTGGTCATTTTCTGGGAACTTAAAATTTTCAATTTAGTGCATGGTTTTTAATTGCAGAGGACCTTCCAGAAATGAAAATTCTTGGTTATACGTATGATAAAAATGCAAGGGGATTTGCATCTCTGTAGTTGCTAAATAAAACACTTACAAAAACTTTTTTATATTGTTTTTTGGATTTTGTTTCCTTGTGTTGATGCTGGCAACTAGGTAACTTATGAATATTCAGGAAAGTAGAACATTTGGGGAGTTTGGTATTGTGTCTCTGTGTGTGTGCTGTGTTCAAGAAGGAGCTATGGGAGCTAGGAGTAGGGGATAAGAAATTGGCAAAGCTAAAGTAGTTATGATCTCTTTAAAAAGAATATCAAAGAATTTGAAGCAACATGGTGGAAAGATATTGATAAACATGGATTGGGAGGAATGATTAAATGTAAATGGCCACAAATTGTTGAGATGATGATGCAAGATATTTTTAATTCAATGATTTCTAATGCGGATATAATATGCAATATATACATATATATAGATAGATGCATCTGTTAGACCGGTCCATTGGACCGATCTAGCCGGTCCACACGGGACCAGTCTGCGGAAACAGAGGCGGAAGTTTTTCTGCCTCTCTGTGCTGCCGAACAGAACCGTCGAACCAAGAGAGCTGATTAGGAAGGATTTTTGAGGGATTTGGGAGGGAAATTTGAATATAGGGACTGTTTAGGGATTTCCTTTTGATTTGTATGCATTAAATAGTTTATTTTCCTAGGGTTAGGGCATCTTGGATTTGGCTGAAATTTGAGATCTCTTAGATTTAGAATTTCTTTGGGCTCCAGCGGCGTCTAGAGATTTGGGAGAGATCGATACTCCTCTCGAATATAGGATCAATTGTATCTTGTTATTTTTCGTTTCCCTTTTATCAAATAATACAAATTATCTACTGTTTTTGTAATTTTGTGTGGATTTTGGTAGAGAAAGCTCGTAGTTTTTGAAGATTGATAGGAAATACTTGAGATCTACAAGTGCTTCCTATCAAATTGGTATAAGAGCACGTCGATCGAAGGGGAACCAATGGCCGTAAGGAAAGTGGAAGTTTTAGAGGGAAAACTTGGGCAACACAAAGCATATTTTGAGGAAAAGATGGTTGATTCTTAAATTTAGATTGCATCTGTCAATGAAAAGATAGAGGAAAAGTTCGTCGTGGTGGAAGACATGTTGAAGAAATTGCTTGAAGCCAAAACCAAACCGGTGACATTGGGAGCAAAGGAAATTACCGGTGGCCATGGAAGAGATGAGAACCCTAATACGTTTAGGGGAACGGAAAAGCCAGAAGTAAAGATCCTGGAGGGAGAAGACGAAATGCCTCCTATAGAACCACTTTAGAGGAAGGAGATGAGCATTGGCTACACAAGAAGGGATGCTGATTTGTAAGGAAAGGGGATGATTTCGATCGTCGGGGTGTTGATTTTGAAAGAGGGGTTGATGAATGGTTTGGGTATGATGATCGGAGGAAAGATCGTTACAATTGGGGAGCACCTCCGCTTCGAGGAATGGGAGGTTATGGAGGATTTAGGGGAAACGGGTGTGACCTGAGGGTGAGGAAACTGAAGATGCCAATCTTTGAGGGGGAGGATGCACACAGGTGGATCTACAAGGTAAAAAGATATTTCGCCGTCAATGGATTGACAGAGGAGGAGAGACTGACGACGACGGGCCTATGTTTAAAAGGGAAGGCTTTGTCTTGGTATCAGTGGAGGGACATGCGACGACCCATACGGAGTTGGAGAGAGTTCAATGATTGTTTAGTAGAACGTTTCCAAATTGACAAGGGAGGAAACTTCTACGAGTAGTTCTTTGCCTTGACATAGGAGGGTTCAGTGACGGAGTACCGGGAGAGATTTGTGTACCTTGCTAGCCGATTGGACCGCCTTTCTGAGTCAGTGCTAGAGGACAACTTCATGAAGGGATTGACACCAGAGATCCTAACAGCGGTTAGAGTAATGAGGCCTCATGACTTGGGAGAGGTTATGGAGCTAACTCAATTTGTAGAAGATAAGAGGCACCTGGAGGGAGAGACGGGAGGTAGCAACTCAGGAGGCTCGTAGAAGATGACCACCACCTTATTGAAATCCAAGGAGCCAACACCGGATACTCTTCGAGGGACTTCGAAAGAAAAGACTGCAGGAGGAAGGCCTGGGGACAACTTCAAGAAGCTCACATAGACAAAACTATAGGAGAAGAGCGCAAAAAGGCTCTGTTTCAGATGTGACGAGAGGTATGTGCCGAGGCACATGTGTAAGGAACAAACTCTTTAGGTTCTTATTGTTTGTGATGAAGAAGGAATGGAGGGTGTCGTCTAAGGTGGATCTTTGGGAGGGGAGTATTGTTAGATCGGTCTTTCTGACCGGTCTAGCCAGTCCACACGGGACTGGTCTGCGAAAACAAAGGCGGAAGTTTTTCCGCCTCTCTGTGCTGTCGAATAGAACCACCGGACTAAGAGAGCTGGTTAGGAAGGATTTTTGAAGGATTTTGGAGGGGAATTTGAATTTAGGGACTGTTTAGGGATTTCCTTTTGATTTGTATGCATTAAATAGTTTGTTTTCCTAGGGTTAAGTCATCTTGAATTTGGCTGAAATTTGAGATATCTTAGATTTAGGATTTCTTTGGGCTCTAGCGGCGTCTAGAGATTTGGGAGAGATCGATCCTCCTCTTGAATAGAGGATCAATTGTATCTTGTTATTTTCCGTTTCCCTTTTATCAAATAATTTTCTTTCTTGTTGAATTAAAGAATCAAACTCCTGCAACTTGATCTCTTTCCTTCTAAAATTCCTAAAATTAAACAATATAAATTTTCATAAAATAGGATTTATTAATAAATTTAAGAAAAATTATATAATAGGAATTTTACTTACAAAAAGGGGATTTTTCAAATCCCAGTTTCTTTTTTTTTTCTTTCAAAATTTCTTCCCCTCGCTTCCAAATATCTTTTTTTTTTCCCTTTATGAAAATGTCATTTGCTTTAAATGAAGTAAAACGAGAAAATTTATACAAAAATGGAAAGAAAATCCAACAAATCTTCTTCCATCTTTTCCTTAGTCGTTCATCTCGTTTGTTGAAATTTCTTCCAAATTATCACTTCGTTAGCGATATGAATAAAAATAAATTGATAAATCTTATCCTCCAATGCGATTGATTGCTAAAAATGGCGAAAGAAACTATCCCCAAATACTTTCGCACGCATTCGGCCGCTCGTTTCGGCCTCTGTCACGATCCGCCCATTTTATGTTTGCGAACGCCTGCTTGCGGTTATTATTAGGGGGCCTGCCAGTTCAATTGAACCGGCCGGATGAACCGATTGTCACAAGTATATTCTTCGTAATAGCAAGTTTGAATTGGTCGGGATAATGGGTTTAATGATGCATTTAGGATTAGAGTGGCTAATGGGGTAGATGTAGTTTGTAGAACTGGATAGGGCGTGTACGTGTATGTTGGGGAGTTATAGGGTTTAAATGGATAAGTAGAGAGAAATGCCTTGGAATATTAAACTTCTATGCTACAACAACAGTGATTTCATCATTAAAAATTGTTGGTTGGTTGGAAATGCCAAAATACTAACTTTATGAGGTGTAAGCTAAGAGGGCATCAGTTAAAGTGATTTAGCTAAGTGCCATACATACTTGTCAATGACGTAAAATGTTGCTCTATGGCGGGGAACAATGCACCTGTGGTGCCATCTCTATGCCATGACGTAAAAGGATCAAAATGATGCGCACAATGGCGCATGGCGCGCACAATTTTATTTAATGGGTTTTTAATGTAATTACATATATTTTCATACTTATATATTTTTAATATCTAAAGTAATATAATAATGAATTTTAGTTAGGTTTTTATTAGAATTTAGTTAGGTTTATGCAGCCAGAACCCTCATGAATGACGAGAGTTCGTGTTTTGCTTCCCCGAGATTCTTCAATACCTCCGTTTGTCCGTCTTATTCCGACTTCGTTCATGTGATTCCGCTTTTGTTCATGCGATTCCGCCTTCGTTTGTTAGTCTGATTCCTTCGCAAGTTCATGCGATTCCGCTTTCGCGTAAGAGATTGCTGGTAAGCTTTCAGACTGACGTGATTCTTTTTTTGTCAGTTTGATTCTTTCGTAGGTTCACGCGATGTGCAACTAGTTTTGCCAGCTATTTGTTTTTAAATCATATAAATGTCTTTGAGGAGATTCAAAGGTTTTCCTGAATCAAAATTAAATTGTGAACGAGTTGCTAATTAAAGCTTTGTGATTGATGTAAAGATCAAAATTATACACAACGGAGAAAAAGGATTCATATAGCTGACCCCACATAGTGTAATAAAGACTTGTTGTTGTTGTATTGCCGTCTCATTGCACTTTTATTATTGCATTCTTTTTTATGTTGAAATTTTCTTTTTAACATCTCAAGTACATGAAGGTGATTAAGCCAATTTGCTTTTGGATTTTGTACCATTTACTTATTCTAATGCATTGTTAGGATGTCTGATAATCATTGTGTAGATGCCTCTATTTCTCACTCCTTTCTCTGTTTTATCTATTTATGAATATATATATCTATCAATGTGGATATTTACATTATTTTATGTATTTGCTTATTTATCCAAAGCCAGTAATCAGATATGCTTCCTGAAAGACTTTCCAGGTTGTGCTTCACATCACAATTAGGTTTCCCTGGAATCTGTTTTTCTTTGTTGCATTTCTTTGCCTGTTTGAAGGGTACAAATCATAATGTTTATAAATTCATTAATACACCAGTCTACAAAACCGTCTTTTGAAAGCAGCTGTTATGTTTACTACCAATCATGTTACAAAGGAGGAATTGTTTCTCTTTGTCAAATAATTTTCCTCTGTAAAAAGTTCAGGGAGTCTGGATATAACCTGTTTGGTAGCGGTATTACCCATAGTTTCTTACTATTTTTTATTGTGCATATTTTTGCAGATCCAAGAGCTGCTTGGTGTATCTCACCTTCAGAGTCAAGTGCCAGCAACTTCGCAGTCTCTTCAAAAGCAAGGATTTCTACTTCCAGTTGCAGAATGTGAGTTCAATTTCTCCACTGCAATTGAAGAGCTGCACAAGATGTCAGATGCCTTGGCAGGGCATCACCCTTTGAGAGCCACAGGTGCGGCTATTTCGACCTCTATTGCCCTCTTGGAAGGTTATTCTCCCAACTCTGGTGGCCGGGTGATGGTCTTTACTTCAGGTCTGGCCACCACTGGCCCTGGGATGGTTGCTGAGATTGACCACAGTAAGGCTATCCGAACCCAACAAGATATTATAAACGGAAATGCTTACTTACATGGAAAGGCTTGCAACTTCTACCAAAAAATTTCCCAAAGGTTACTAGAAAGATCCTTTGTTCTTGATCTCTTTGCTTGCTCTCTCGATCAGGTTGGAGCTGCAGAGATGAGGATCCCAATCGAAACATCCGGCGGCCTTCTAATACTAGCAGAATCATTCGAATCTGAACAGTTTAAGAAGTGCTTGAGACAGATCTTTAAGCATGTTGGAACTGATCACCTCGACATGAATTTCGATGCGACAATTGAGTTGGTGACAACCAAGGAGGTCAAGATCTGTGGGGCACTTGGTCCATGCATCTCTCTTCGGACCAAGAACAGCTCGGTCTGTGAAAAGGAGATTGGTCAGGGAGGAACCAGCTCATGGAAGACCAGCACACTCACAAACAAAACAACCATAGCCTTCATCTTCCAAGTGGACAGTAATCAGCCAAATAATGAACCAGGGCCAGTCTTCTTTATTCAGTTCAAGACTAGGTACCGCCATGGAAATGGCAGCATTCGCTTAAGGGTGACCACTGCTGCAAGGAGATGGGCTCCTGAAGCGTGCCCTCTGGATATCAGCTCAGGATTTGACCAGGAAGCAGCAGCAACCATCATGGCACGTCTCGCAGTCAATCGCGCAGAGGTTTACCATGCTCGCGATGTGATCAGATGGCTAGATAAGATGCTCATCCGTTTCACTGCCAAATTTGGCGACTACGTACCCGAGGATCCATCGACCTTCCGCCTGCCATCGGGTTTCTCCCTGTACCCACAGTTCATGTACTACCTGAGGAGATCCCAATTCATTGATATCTTCAACTACAGCCCGGATGAGACAGCTTTCTTTGGGATTGCATTTAACCGGGAAGGTGTCACTGGATCACTCATCATGGTCCAACCCACACTCTTCCAGTACTCTTTTGATGGGCCACCAATGCCAGTTCTTCTTGACATTAGCTCAGTGTCACCTGATGTGATCTTACTCTTTGATTCCTATTTCCATGTAGTGATACATTATGGGTCTAAGATTGCTCAATGGAGGAAATTAGGGTTTGATAAAGATCAGAGCAATGAAAACCTGAGGAAGCTATTGGAGGCTGCCGAGATGGATGCAGAAGAGCTGATTGAGGGTAGGATTCCGGTGCCAAAGCTAATTAAATGTGACCAACATGGAAGCCAGGCTAGGTTTCTCCTTGCTAGGCTGAACCCGTCGGCGACGCATAATACTAGGCTTGCGGATGGATCGGAGGTCATGTTCACTGATGATGTTAGCCTTCAGGCTTTTCTTGAGCATCTTCAGTCTCTGGCTGTTCAGGGATGACCAGAAGGTTTTGTAATCTTACAAGGTTTGCATCCACATCTTTGTTTAATTTATCATGTTTAACACAGGTAGTGAAAATAGAGGATTTTGAAGGGAAAGAAACTTTTTTTGTTTTTTTGTTTTGTTGCTGCTTGTAAAATTGGGTTCATTTTTTTCTTTTTAAAATTCTCAAGCCTATATCTTTTTATTTTGGGCTTCAGTTAATCCTTGTGAGTCTACCAGGGTGTAGGCCAGTGTGCATATTTATTGAGTTCTTTGATCTTGTTTGATCCTTCAGTATATGGGAATTTAGGTTGGTGCGAGGAAACAATTCAGCAACAACAACAACAACATCAAGCTTTTGTCTCGCTACGTGGGGTTGGCTATATGAATCCTTTTTCTCTATTGTGTCTAGTTAAAAGTCAAATTCTTGTTTAAATCTAATAAAGAAAGATCATTTCTAATATTTTATAACCAAGTTTTTTTTAGGTCTACCTCTATCTTTCTTGATATAAGTCAAATCTAATATATCTACTTTACTAACCGAGTCATCGGAAGTCGTCGTTTTATGTGACCAAATCATCTAAGGTGACTACTCTCTAATCTTATCTTCCACTGGAGCTGCTCTAACCTTTTCACGTATATGATGCTCATTTCGTATCCTGTCTTTAAGGGTAAATCCAACCTAAATTTAGGTTGGTGTGAAAAACAATGGATGCATAAAATTAAATCGAGCCCTTTTTTTTTAATGTAAAAGGGAGAAATTATTTTCTTTTACAGTTTAGTCAAGTGGTCTGTCATTTGTGGCTTCTTTGGACCAGCAACAGCAATTGCATCATGATTTCCAAGCCCTACCTGCTGATTTTTTTGGGTCTAAATAGTCTTTTTGTCGATTGAAAATTCAAGAGGAAACTATTCAATTATGATGTAATTCGTCTGAATATTAGCAAAACAAAATTTGATGTATCTATATGTCTAATTAGCATAGGATCAATGGTATATCCTAATTAAACTTTGATTTATAGGGTTCTTCTTTCTATTAAATATGGCTTTTATGACCTTTTAGTTTCATTGATATTTGAAATACGAGCAATAAAAAAGTCGTCACAAATGGAAGTCTAAATTGTGAGAATACGTGCATAAGATGTTTATTCAGAATATATTAATTTGTGACTCGAGTGATGGTTGTCATGTTTCATTTGGGATATATATATATTTTATTTTTTACAACAATTTTTCCAGCGCTAAAAGTTTTTAGAAGTGAAAAAATAAGCATACGAAATTAGCTTATACGTGAAAAAGTTGGAATAGCTCTAGTGGAAGATGATATTAGAGAGAGAGAGAGTCGCATTAGATGGTTTGGTCACATAAAATGACGGCCTTCCGATGGCCTCGTTAGGAAAATGTATTAGATTTGACTTATGTTAAGAAAGGTAGAGATAGATCTAAAAAGTCTTGGTTAGAAAATATTAGAAATTGTATTTTTTATTAGATTTAAACAAAAATTTGACTTTTAATGTAGCCGACCTCACTTAGGCTTTGTTTGGGACGGCTTTTTGACTGCTTTCTAAAACGGAGTTTTAATAAAAAAATAAAAAAATTTGTAATAAAACTCCGTTTTAGAAAGTAATAAAAAAGCCGTCCCAAACGAAGCCTTAGTGGGGCAAATGATTGATGTTGTTGTTGTTGTTATTGTGAAAAATAGTAGTCAAATGTTATCCTAATTAAAAAAAATTTTAGGCTTCTTTTGGTGATAGCTTTCTTAGTGATTTTTAAAATACATTTTTAATGTAAAAATTTTTTGAATTAAAAAATTTTATATAAAAAAATTACTTTAAAAAATAGTAAGAAAGCTGATGAAAGTAAAATTTTAATGCATTTACCTTAACTCGTTAAGCCCTTGCAGCCCATCCATTATGGTTACGATGTCATTAATAATAGCATAATTGATGTACTATAAACCCGTTTAATGTAACTGAGGGTGTCAATAGATTTTTGATTAAAAAACTTACCAAGCAAGTTTGTTTGGCATAAAAAAGCTGCCCTTCGTTTTTCTGTGTACGCCTGGCTTGCTTTCAATGGTGGTTTGAAAACTTATGATGTTCTTGCTGCCAGGGGAATCACAACTCATAACACTTGCTGCTTTTGTCATGAGGACATGGAAAATCTTAGCCACCTATTTTTTGACTGCAGATTTGCTTTCTCCATTGCTAAATCTTTGCTTCCTTGGCTTAATAGTTGGCTGATGAAACCAAATCTTTTTCAAGTTTATGATAGTGTTTGTGACCAAGGTTTTAATGCCCAAACAAATAGATTGTTCCTCCTCACGGTTTCTGCCACTATCTATTTTCTCTGGAGAGCTAGGAACGAGAGGATTTTTGGTGGAAATTCTGAATGCCAAGCTACTGTCACTGTCAATATTAGGAGAGCTATTACTATTAAAACCCATGGCTGGAAGCAGAAATGATCTTTTTGATTGGAGAATTTTGTAGCTACTGTTTACTGTTCTTGTGGCAGCTGCCTCTACTCCTGCGGTTTTTGAGGTTCTTGTAATTTTGTTGCCTCTACGGGATGCCTGGACTCTTATTTTTGAAAGGATAATGATGATCGCTGACCTTCAGCATTCCCTTGGACGGCCTTGTTGGCAACCAGGGGTTTTGTTCTGGATGGACCCTTCCGAGCACTATCTTAAGCCAGAACAACCTGAGTCCTTTAAGGCTCTTCAGCTTGCTGGGTTCTCTTTCTGAATTGTATTTTTTCTTCTTTAGAGTCCTTTATCTCCTGTTTTTGAGATTTAGGATTATATTTTATGTTCCTTTTACTTGTAATCTTTTTTGATATATAAAAAGGACTTTGCCCCAAATTTACCCAAAAAAAAAACTTACCAAGTTTTTGAGCTGTGAAATTAAGAGGAAAAATTTTGCAATATAGAATTTAGGAATAAAATTTCTTTTTTTTTTAGGTATCAATTAGTTTGGTCAAAGTTGCTATCATGAATTTGAACCTCTTCTATATTATTTGCATTCTCAACCATTCCCCCACAACAACAAAATCAAACCTTTATCCCACCATATAGGGTCGGCTACATGAATTTCTTTTTTCTTTTTTTGTTACTTGTGTTTTGTTAATAGTCAAATTCTCATTTAAATTTGATAAAAACAGATCATTTCTAATATGTTCTAGCCAAGTCTTTTTTAGGTTTGACTTTATCTTTGTTAACATAGGTCAAATTCAATACATCTACTCTCCTAAGACCATCTTCAACCTAACTGTATACCACTGTATGCCTTTCGCCATTCACTGTAGTCGAACTCTAAATCTCATGCCAAAATTCAGTAGGTGAACAATTCGACGCCAATAAAATTAAGTTGCGGAATTTGCCGAAGAAGAGCGCGAAAGAGGAGAAAAGTACGCGAAAGAGGAGAGAGATGGTTACCTACGTAGGAAGCGTGCAAAAGAAGAAAGAAATTCAGTTCGATTGGAGATGAATTACAATATTTTGAAGCTTTACTGCATTTTAGATTGGAAAATGGGTTTCTCGGTTGGAGATGCCCTAACCAAGTCATCAGAAGACTGATATTTTATGTGTCAAAACTATGTTTGACAACTCTCTCTAATCTTATCTGTCACTGGAGCTACTTCAACCCTTTTATGTACATATTTTATCGCATTATCTCTGAGAGTGAAGCCACTCATTCACCCGAACATTCTTGATAAATTTTTGATAGTATCTTAAATAAGCAGCTCAATCAAATGAACAAAGCCAAATAAGTTTCTTAAACTAAGTTTTGAATTATATCATTTGTTACAAATGGTGTCTTTAGCATATGAAGGAATTAGGAAAAATGTAAATGAAATTTACTAAACATTTTCATTTCAATTTAATTAAGGATGATAAAATTTACCTAGCAAATATATCAGCTGCTCACTATAACTCATATGTCCCTTCTCATAAGAAATAAAAATATCATTTTTTATCAACCGAACAAAAATAAAATAATATTTTTTCTCTCAATTTATCCTAATTAAAAAAGTCGATAAAAATTTCATTTTAAATCAATTCCTTTATCATTTATTTATTTCCTTTTCTTTATTTCCTCTCTTTTAATTCCTTCAAATCAAACAGTGCCAAAATGACTACAGCACTGCTAAAATTGTTTTCAAATGTTTTGACTGCAACTGTTTGAAGCTTTCAGTAAGAGGCAGCCATTAAAACATGCTCTTCACTAAGACTCTTTTTGGTTGCTTATGCATAAAAATAAATATTTCTAAAAATTTTGTTATATATATAATCATTAAAGAATCAAAGATAAGATTTTTATGGCTTAAATTTCGAAATAATCACCAAATTATCCATATATGGCCATTTAGTTATAGGTATAATGTTGCTTCAATTTAATATTTTAACTATACAAAATTAATCCACAATGGTCACTTCATAACTAAATAAGAATCAATTTTGTAAAGTCGATGGACTAAATTGAGATCAATTTTATATCACATTTACAACATAAGAGACTATTTTGAATCAATTTTGTATGGACTAAATTGGGTCAATATGGTACTCTGAGATTAAATTGGCAACATATAGGGGTGTCAATTTCGGGTTTCGGGTCGAACCTAAAATTGACTCAGGTTCAAACGAGTTCATCCAAACTCGGCCCATTTGGTAAACGGGTCAAAAATAAGAACCCGACCACGACCTGTCGGGTTATCGGGTTGACCAGACCCGACACGATTTTTGTAAACTTGGTACAATGGGGATGGCGTCGACGGCGGGACGGTGGGGCGGAGTGGCTCACGTCGACGGCATGCTAGTTGGAAATTCATCGAAGGAGGCGTTGGATGGAAGGGCTCGCATTGACGGCGAGACGGCGGGGCTCGCATATACGGCTAGACGGCGGGGTGGAGCGGCTCGCGTCACGGCATGCCAGTTGGAACGTTGTCAAAAGAGGTGTTGGATGGAGGGGATCACGTCGACGGCAGGCTAGCATCGCGGATGGGACAGTGAGGCTGGTAGCACAAACGTAGATGGGACGACAGGCATTCAGCGCGGACGGGTCGCTGACTCGGACGAGACTCACGCGGACGGGATGTGACGCGACGAGACTCATCCGAACGTGACATGAATGAGACCCGTTTTTCCCGAGTTAACCATGGTTGAGTTCAAGTTGCTGGGGTCAACCCGAACCCGACACTTTTTGAAATCGGGTCGGATTTAACCTGAAATTTTTTGGGCTGGGCTCAAGTCGGCTTTTCGTGT